GTCTGCGGAATGTTGGTCCGTTGTGGTCGATCTCTCTCTTGGTTAATAGGTTGACTACTTTCTGGGGTGTTTCCATTTTTAAGTGCGATGTATAGTGACAATATATATTCGATTATATTATTACAAAATAATTTGGAAAAGTTTAAATTGATTTCCTTTATCTCTCAGAAAAAAGATATATGTTCCAGTGTATGTTATCTACTTTCTGGCTTCGAATAGACTTGACTATGAGAAGGCGTGATTTAAACTAATTTTATATTAAATATATTTGCATAAAAAGTGAAACGGTTTTTATACGTTATATATTAAAACACTTTTGAATGGGGTGTTCAACCGATCAATATGTTAAAAGAGATAGTTCGAGACGTTTTACCTGTCCATATATTAAAAGAGATGGCTCAATTTGCGGAAAAAGTTGCTGGCGGGACATAGGGTGTTCGTTGCACTGGAAATTATATAATACAAATATAGCGAAGTTTCCTTGTGGGATCTGTGGAAAACTAACAATTTCTGGGACGGGATATTGTCCTAAGCACGCGAAAAGAGTTTACTTTCGAAATTGGTATGAGAGGCAGAAGGAACAAAGAATAGAAGCTGATGCGTAATTATACTCACTTTACCGAAGGTAGTCACTATATAACTATAGATATCAGTTTTAAGCGTCACAAAAATGGTCTTCGTAGTGGGATAGCGAAGCTAGTGTCTTATTTCGGGAGAAATGACATTCCATGCCTGACACATATTTTTTATTGCAGAGCAATGGGCTTCGCCCTACAACTATCATTTTTAAGCGTCACAAAAATGGTCTTTGTAAGATATATCATGGATCCTAAATACTCATTTTAAATGATATCAAACAATTCTTGACGCAATTATATATCAGAACTGGGAGCGATCTCTAATTCGTCAGGTGAGAGTTTACTATATCCATAACGTATATCCTCACCATTTTCATAGAATTGTCCTTCACCCGTTTGGTATGCTGGTAATTTAGGGGCATTTTCTTTATCGAACACACCTACTAGGTGGTAATATCTAAGACTTTTATCAGTAGCTTTGAACTTTAATCCATAAGTCGCATAAAGCGCTGAATTCAATAAACCAAGCTTCGATCTAAGAGTTTTCAATCCAGATTTTTTAGCACGTCGAGATGAATCTGTATTATCAAAAACCCGTGCCATTTTTGGAACTAATCCTTGAAGAAATTTTATAGATTCAGGTGATTCTAAACATGATTTAACAATACCAGCTTTATATCTATTTCTATCATCAATATCTTTAACGGGTGTGCAGGTCTTTAATAATTCCAGACAGATTCGATGCTTTTCAGCTCGAGTGGTAGTTGTGAGCCTATATTCTCTATAATCTTTACGTACAATAGCTTCAACCGCCGTCTCATTATCAGTACCAGCATCTCGTAACTGTTTATAAGATCTGAACCATTTCATATGATCATACTTGCCATATCCTGAGATAAAATCTTCGGTTATAGATCCGGATGACATATTATAGCAATCTGCAATATGATACCGGCTTAATGCATACATTTCTTCTAAAGTCTTCTTTGGCTTGTTTTCTAGGTGTTCGGCCATCTCATGATTGAGAATATTGGCGTTGGCAATGTCTGAAATTTCCTCTGCTTTAATAGCCGAAGAATACCCCTTTACTGTTTCAGTTAATGTCACGGTATCATCTTTAGCTTTTGGAGTGGCTTTTATTATAGAAACTACCATACCTGCCTTTTTAAGAAAATCTACCATTCTCCATCCAAATAAACGACGAGATCGAAATTTTTCCAATGTGTGGGCAACCCACAATCGAACTGTTGGGATATCCTTATTTCGAATAATGGATTCTACATCTGGAAATATTCCTCTATTCTGAAGTTCTTGAGGGAGAGATTCACGTTTAGCTTTTAACAACCAGTGGAATAACCCCTCTTCGGTAATTGGGAGATTTGATGATCTTTGTTCGATGTGGCATGTATATTCTTTAATACATCTCATACGGAATAACATCTGATTCGTCCCTGCATTTGTTTCTATATAACTTTTGAAAAGACAGAACGCACGCTCAAACTTGGGGTTAGTACACGAGACTCCTATTTTTAATGTACTTGTATATGCAACAAGATCCACGTCCTTCCATGTCTCTTCCACATTGCTAAAATCGTGAGACTTCTCAATTTGATCTGATTTCCCATGGTATCTTTTGATGCGCAATGTTGGAAATTCTCTTATCAGAGCGCGAGTAATGCCTTGTACATCCCCTCTAAGATGGCAAATAAGTGATGCGCTTTTTCGTTCCTCATAAGGTAATGAAGACATCACTCTTGCCCATTCCCAAAGTTCAGCTAACACAGTTTCTTTATTAGGAGCTAAGCGGAATTTTTTATCTTTCTGAGGCTGATATGTATTATGAATAACTGAAAATTGCTTGCCCTTCCGAAGTGATTTAATCCATTCTATATTGAGATCGGTTAGATCATTATCCATAACAATAATGCGCCTCGCTTCGTGAATTAACTTATATAAATGCTCTCTTGATCGTCCTGCTAAGCGAGTATGGGCCTGATCATTTATTGATACTACTTCATCTAGCCATAAATCGTATGGAATTGGAGGACATTTACATTTTTTCTCACATTTACATTTATTAATAATGCGATGTAAACTCTCTATCTGACATACTACTCTTTGATGTTCCGGGAGGTTTATAATCTTAGTGTCGATATCACAATATGATTTGAGATTAAGTCTTACTGTAACTGCACTAGAATAACTATGTCGTGTAGATAGAGCTAGCAAATTTATAGCTTCAGGAATAGTAAGATGCTCTAAAGTATAAGTCTTTCCCGTCTCCCAAGGTGATCCTACATATACATCGCCCTCCTCGGGTAAAGGTTTTACATATTGCTCCTCATATACTTCTGTTGCGGTAAGAGGGGAATCACATTTAGCCCAAGCTGGCATTTCTAAGAAAGGCCATGGGAATTTCGGACCTTTCACCTTATGTATAACGGGTGATGGAATATTATTTTTATTTTTCTGTTGAATTTTTTCTGCAATAGATGGGTCATTGAAAATTACCCCCCGTTCATCTCTATTTTGTTGAAAACATTTCACAACGAATGATCCATTACCATATACACGACCAAACCACCGCTGATCCTTCTCGTGTATGCGATTACATATTGGGCATTCCTGATACGCTTTTCGACTAAAGTATACAAAATATTGAGAATTTTTTTCTATGCCTTGGCATGAGCTCCGCTCTTCGATATCCCAATCACTAAGATAATTAGGATACTTCCGCAGAACTAGATTCGCATAATTTTTTAATGCATTATGACCCACGATTATTTTTTTCTGATTTATTTTCTCTACACTAAGTATACGAGGACGTACTTCAAAATTCATACTAATTGGTGGTTGAACTCTGGTGTCATTGAGATTGTTCCACCCATTATCTAGTGAGTATTGGAGAATGTGCTTCACGCGATCTTTTTTTGCAGAACCGATTAAGCGGAGACAGAAATTTCGACCGGGTAACCCTCTATCAATAAACTTACCATATTTTTCTCCCGTTAGTTTATATACTAATTCTGTAAATTCTTTAAGCTCCTGATAGTCAATGAGGAGAGCTGGAGCGTATAGAAGATGGTAACTGCATTTATCAGGATTAGACGAAGTCATAATTACCAACCCTTTAAAGATTTCTTCCCAACTACAATCAAGAATTTGGTATAACGTTCTTACAAACGAACAACAAATACGAATGAATACATCTCTAGCATTAACCTTTTCTAATCCCATTTTTTCACTAGAGGCATCGATATCAATAACGGGTCTTAGAGGTCTTTGTCCATTAATACATTCGTGGATTCCAGGTAAACCATATACTTCAGAAATATCATCTACAACTGAGAATTTTTTATATTCACCCTGTTCTACCTGTATAACTAATTTATCTGCTAATTCCTCCCGTGTATATGCATCAAGCAGACTAATTCCTTCTTTTGCGCCATAATTAGGTAAAAGATAGTCCCATAAATATACATCTTCCAACAAACCTTTAGTGCTCAGCATTTCTCTAGCAGGTGAGGAAGCAATTCCACAGATTCTATTTAATAAGTCTTTCTGGGTAAATTTATTATCGAACTTTTCTTGCCTTTGAGTATATATAACTCCCACTCGATCTGTGAAATTTGTTGAATTAGACATTTGCTCTTCTACTTTAGGGGGTTGGGATATTTGAGGATTAATAATACTTGTTTCAGTATCTGACTCATAGTCGGAACCATAGTCACTGCAATTTTCTGACCCACTTTCGGATATATTATCACTATAGACATCTGAGTCACTTGAATAGTCATCGGTTTCCCCGCCCCCGTACCGCTCGAGTTGTGTGCTTTGTGTGCTCATTTTTTTATTGGTATGCATCAATCTTTGCTCGATTATATTATTACAATATAGTTTGGAAAAGTTTAAATTATTTTTTTCGGTTGGTGTTCAATGATAACAAAAAAATTGCATTGATTTTTAGTCGAATATACAACAAAAAACGCGAACTCGATAGATGAATAATTTTGGGCCCAAGTGTAGACCCAAAGGGTCATTGCTTTGCAATAGTATCTGCGGTAATATATTATGTGTCAAAGACACTAGCTCCGCTATAAGAAAATTGGTAGAACACTACACTGTTTGATAACATGTTTTCGGGTATGTTTTTGGTATGTGTTCGAGTGGTGTAATCTTTAGATATATTATGTGTCAGAGACACTAGCTCCGGCAGAAGTATACACTTTGTGATGATATGTACTTGGGTGTAGTCTTTTGCGGAATATAATATAATAAATGTGGCAGAAGATTACAGCAAAATACATATAAATTTGATAGTAGCTAGCAGGTGTAGTCTTTTGCGGAAATATATATAATAATTATGGCAGAAGACTATAGCAAAGATATATATACTTCGAGGTGTAGTCTTTTGCGGAAATATATATAATAATTATGGCAGAAGACTATACCCGCCTTCTTATATATTTAGTCGAAGTTTACTATTTTTTTTACTCCCATTTCTATGGTATGTTCTCGGGTATACTTCTGGTGTCAAGGGCTAAGGCCCATTGCTATGCAATAAATTTCCGGCAATCAAATCGGCATACGTGACTTAAATATACGCACAATCGATTTGATAGCATTTTCCGATAACATTCATTGCAACTGGGACGTAACTAAGACGGATTTTTTAGAGTTAACTATAGGCAAAGTAAATTGATAGCATGACCTGGTAACAGGAATATAGCATATCCTGATAGCATTAATCGATAGCATGTGTATAGTATTCCTGATAGCGTATATATTGCATACCCGATAGCATGTGTATAGCAATTACGTGACATAGGTTGCATACATATTCAGATAGCATATATGTAATATGCACGATAGCATGTCCCGATTGTATTAATTTTTCTATTAAAAATTCTATGCGGTATATAAAATGACAACAATGCAAGATCACAAGAGTAAGCTAACTCAAGCTATTGATAATATTATAACGCAAAAGATTGAGGAAGTAGACTGT